CCGCGACCTGGTAGCAGACCAGAACCACCAGCATTGCGATCGCAGCGATACGAAACATCAGGCGGCTCCCAACAGCCTCGTTAACGAGGCCAGCGGTGATGCAGCCCAACGCGGAGCCGATGCCCATCACGAAGAAGAACAAGACACCCGTCGCGGAGGCGGAAAGGTGCGCGGGGAAGGCCGCCGAGAGCGCCCGCACGGCGGGAAGCCACATCAGACCGAAGGTGATCCCGTGCAGCGGTTCCAGTGGCAGCACCAGCCACGGCTCATGCAGCAGCGAGTAGCCGACGACGCGGAATGCCCAGAGCCCCATCGCGATCGTCATCATCGCACGCGCGGTGAAGTAGCGCTGGATGAGGTCAAAGTAAATAAACACCGGGACCTCCGTCGAGACGGTCAGGACCACTGTCAGGCCGAAGAGCACGATCGACCCGTCGATTTCACCAAGAAAGACGAACAAAAAGGCGTTGATGACGCTGTAGCCCATCCCCATTGCGGCCGACCCGAGGAGCAGGACGAGCAGCCGCGGCCGCCTGACGACGACGCGGATGACGTCGGCGAAACGGGCCTTCACAGGCTGCTCCTCCGTTGTAGAGAAAGCGGGTCCGTCCACGCCGGGTTCGGGATGGGCCACCGCGTCCTCGAGACCGTTCGGGGCGTTTTCCGGTCCGACCTGGACGTCTTCCGCCGCCTGCGCGCGACCACAGCATTCACGGGGTTTCTCGACTTGAACCGCCCCTGATGGGACATCCCTATCGGGGTGAGAGCATTTCACCTGCGCAGAGGCCGGGCCTGACTTCGGGCGATGGCGGTGGAGCAGCCAAATGCACAGGAGCATCCCGGCGTGCCCCACGGTGTACTGAACCACACCCATCGACCAGGTCTTGGCCCACGACGCGACCGCGGAGGCCACGAGGCTCCCCACGCCCCACCCGATCGCCCCGAAGGCGCGCACGAAGGCCCACCGCGTGGCCTTGTCGCCCTGGCTCGGGAACAGCGCGAGCATGTTTCGATCCAGCAACGGGTTGATGGGGGTCTGGAGGATCACCAGCACCGTGAAGGTGATCATGAGGAGGGTGTGGTTTGCGGCGGTCGTGTAAAACCAAACCATAATGGTGGAGCAGACTACGGTGAGCACCAACATTAAAATCGCGCACCGATACTTGTCCACTATGAAGGAAAATCCAGGTAGAACAGTTACGCTGGCAATGGGGATAATGCTGAGTAACACACCTATGATGTCCTTGGATACACCCTTCTCTGAAAAAATATAACCATAATAGGTGTTGATGGAGGAGGTGCCAATCATGAAAGTTAAGTAGCAGAAGCAAGCGATTCGATTCATGAGAGGTGTTACCTCTGAATCGATGATCTTATCGTGTAAACCGTCTGCTTGCGGGTTCCCAATGTCCTTTGTGGTATTGTTGGGGGTATCGATGGGCATCGGAGGGATGTTTCCGGTCGAATCTTGTAAAGGATTACATGATCCTTTCATATGAGATTCACGAAGATCCTCGCATAAAACGCGATCGCTGACGTTCGAAACACGTTCGTGTTCGACTATCTCTGGACGAGGAAGAGATTCAAAAACAGGAGCCCCAGTATGAGTCCGAGACATTATATATCGCCCAATATCTTCACCTTTTATTTCCAGATATTATTATTATTATTATTATTATTAAGATTATTTCAGCTTTGGTAGAAAAATATCTACAGCAGTACACATGTACTTAATTCCCAAAGTGGTAAATAAGTTTATTTGTATCTCTATATATATTTATATATACTGAATGAAATACGAAAGAGAGAGTACCTAAAGCACACGGGCTGTTGATAATCTATGTTTGAATATTAAGAAATTTGAAGATAAGAGAAGGGAGGGACAGATAGGAAAACACACTCTTATTCCTTCAAATTTGATAAAGGTGCTAAATAATCTTTCGCTCAATTGCATATTTGTCCCTTCCTATCATTAGATTGACACTTCAGTTAGCAGGAGCACGCTTGGGTTCTTGTTAAAAACCTGAGGACGGGGTAGCGATGGGAAGGTCATGCTTCACAACGGCCCCAACTAGTTATCTACCATCACTGACAACTTCTTTACAATACGATATAGATTACGTAAACGAAAACACCCTGAGCAAATGATCTAGCAGCACATGATAAGTAGGTTAGTAATCTACAGATGCCTTCTCACGAGCCCTGTAGACTCTTCACTCCTTTCCGAGAGATACTGTTTCTTGAGAATGTTTCTGTTTGTTCCTCTCCTGCTTTTAAGATTCGCAAGAACTCTCAGGTACCCGCTCAAGGCTAATGACATCCGTCTGTACAAGCGCGAATTTTGACAATGCGACGCCCCAGTGACCAAAACGCTTACACGAAAATCATTTGGCAGAATCGCAATGCTCTACAATGAGCTTCTCAAGCCTGATATTATTTCCTCCCCGTCTTAAACCCCCGAAGGCGGCTTGAGGCAAAGAAAATCATCAACCAATGACTTGTCAACATTCGCGAGCCGCGCTCCCTGGTGAAGGGGCAAGCTCCGTCAGAATTCTGCAAATTAAATATCCCCACTGAGTCTCTTTCCAAGTAGGCAGCGAGCTACTCTCAACAGTCTCTACAAAACTATCCTCAGTAAAAACTAGTATATCTGCATTCCCAAGAGCGCATTTCTAACACATAGGCTATCAATGAAAGCCTTTTAACAAATCAAACCAAGTCTAAAGCATGGCGATGACGGTGATAAGGTATCTAAAATGATGGCATCGCCAATTGCCACGGTACCTCCACCTTCCCTTTCCTTAGCCCGTATTTTTGACATGTTACAACATTACCAAGCCAAGTGTTCGTCTCTTGAGGTACAATGATCCCCCTTTATTGCTTTTTATTTCCAATACGATGTGGTACATTGTTTTCCTTTTGTAGTTTTAGTTATGTATAGGGATTTTGTGATCCTTTCTCAGCTCGCCTGCGGATTTCCCGCATCAGGTCATCCATATTTGTTGCCTTGATCTCGTCATCACACTGCTTCTGGTTGGCGAAGGTTTGAATGGTTGGGGTGCCCGAAATAAGTTGATATTCAACCAACTGCCACGTACTGAGTGCCTTGGTGTCTACGCTATACCAAAACACGCGCTTTGCATTCGGAGAGGCATCCTTCGCGAAGGCTTCAGCGGCAGCCTTATACATTTCCGCAAACGCAAGACATGGAATACACCCATGCTTCCAGTACTTTATTACCATTAGGTCGTTTCGGTGCTCAAGGAGCTTGTCAATAAATTCTTCCTCGCTTTGGATTACTGGCAATTTCGTTTTTTCCAGGAAGCCGCTATCTTCAAACTCTTTCATCCATTGGGGGATGTTGTTTTGCATAAACTTTTCATACTCCTCGCCTGATAAGTCTGTGGGAAGCTTGTGATTCCCAAAGATTCTCTGGATGATACTTTGTATCTGAGACATTAGTGCCGCTACTACTATCAATTGATTACTCTGTTCTTACCTGCGCTTACAGACGAAGGGAAGTGACAAATTATTTCTCATAGAAGCCCCAAAATGGACATCTACTCACCGACCGCAATTGAAAATCATAAATAGGCCGAGAGTAAACACTCACACACCCCAAACAAATGCAGAATGTCAAGAAAAACAACCTGGTAACACATTTAAGATGGTACCCTAAGCATAAAATACTACACCACCCATACACCCCCTTGGGGAGTCCTAAGCAACAATATTCAAGATGAATCATCTACTCATTTTTTATTGTTTTCATATAAATGCATATATATATATATATATGCATATACATACATATATATGAACACACACATGTTTCCCCTCGTCAGGCGATGTCCTCCACTTTCAATCGAAGGCCCATCACTCCGCTATTCCCTTCGGCCAGTGGCCGTAGTACCGGCAGTGCCGGATCTTCCACCAAAACTCGCTGTGGTAATGCGGGTCGGTAAAATCACTCTCACGTAGCTCCGCGCGCGCGCTGGAGAGCCTCGACTGGGCGGGCGACATCATCGTAATCGTCAAATCCATCCCTTCGTGCTCGGGATGGCGATCGGAAAAGCGCTTCAGCCTCAGCCAGGGATCGGCCTGGTGACGCTCCGCCTCGGTGCGGCCGCGGCTGTTGTACACATCCGGATCCCAAAATGGTTTTTCGTTTTTGATGCTGTGAAACCCCCGGACGACGAGCCACAGGATGACAAGGGAGGCCACGCCGTAGGTGCCGACGGAGTGGCTGATGTACTTCTCCGGACTTTCCTTCCAGTGCGCGAAGAGCCTGCGATGCCACCGCCGGCGATCCTTTCGCGTGAACTTCTTCACCGCCTCGAGTTTGTTGATGTAGTAAATCGCGTCAAGGTAACTCGGAGGTTCGTGTGCGGTGGTGGGTAACACATCTGCGGGGATGACAATCCCGCCATTCTCGTTGATCTCGTTCAGTGAGTAGGTGTCGAAATTGGTGACGTGCTTGAGGTACTCAAGCCCCGGGGCATACCACCGCACCACCTCGCCTCCTGGCAAGACGCGTTGCATATAAAATTTGTTATCACGCGTGCGGATGAGGGAGAGATCCGTCTCCGAGCCATCCCGCACACCACGACCCATCCGATCGATGTAAAGCAGTGTGGTAACGGCCGGGCGGGGGGCGATCACGGTGCGAATGCCTCGCCGTGTGCAGAAGAGAGAGCTGGCGGTATTTCGTAAACCAACACCACTACTCCCCCTCAGAGCGCTGGAAACGTACTGCATTATGTATCCGTTATCTATCTATAAATATATATATATATATTTACCGTTTCGTGCAACACACATGCCAAAGTGAAAGGGCAACGCGGTATTTTCCTTTTCTGCCTTTGAAGCGCTTACTTTCTGTAGACAAAAACATTTGGGTGACCAATAACATTGAGTTAGGGAGAGAATTGATGGAACTTCAGTAACTATAGGAGGAACACCCCCGCTCTGATTTAAAAGACATCCAAATGGATGACGACAATTAGAGTGTATTCTAAAACTATAACTTCCTCACGTTTCATAAAATGTCAAATGCCTATTATTCTGATCACAAATACATTTAGTCCGAAAAAAATTCAGACACAATACATACATTAAAGAGGCACTACCACTAAATAATACGAACAACATGAACTGCAGCGAACTAACAACTAGAATGCCTATAGACACTTTAGTCCAACGAAACAAAAAATAGTTACGATTCTCAGAAGTAGATTCAAAGCAGCTAAAATAGTATAATAAGAACAACGTCGAATAATTTTTGCTCCATACTATAAAAAGCAAGATTGATACGTGCGCAAATAGAGAAAGAAAATATTGATGTATAAACACACATAATTTATGCATCATTCCATGGAGGGGGTCGATATGAGTCAAAGAAAGTGGAACATGGAAAAGTGGAGCACTGGAACACTACAAGGTCGGAAAAAAAAAGAAATAGTAAAATAATAAATCAAGTACAAAACCATATGTATACTTATAGTATTCATAACTCCCTAATCTTAAACAAAAGGAAATAAATAGACAACAAAAACATAAATAGAAATGCCAAATACCTTCTTGCCATATACACGAGTGAACTGCACAGAAAATTCATCTACAATAAGATGTCCAAATCACCAAACTACCTTTTACGTTTTCCTTTTTGTTTTTGTTTCAATTGAACTATGACTAGGATAAATATTTGACCAGTTTTTATGAAAAGACGCTGATAACTCTTTCTGCGGGGCGATCGGGCGGGCTTGTTACGGCACTTTGCTATCCTCACGGATCACGAATACGACACCGTGTACGGGGGACAGATGGAGGATTGAGACGGGCCCACTGAGGATAACTGAAGGAGTTTGACCTATGAAAATCGACGCGCTGCCGGGCGCGATTGGAAAGATGTGTTGGGGGCTTCCATTTCCCTTCTCTTGATGCCCCCGATTCGGGGAAGGATTTCGACACACATGCTTCTGGCACACTGTTTAATTTGATACCTTGTTCTACATCACGACTGCTAATAATAGCCCTAGCAAATTCATTATCAGGATCATTTTTATTCAAATTGACTCCGTGGTACGCATTTTCTTGCGATTTTGCACACGCCGGATCCTGCCATGGGGGTATGTTGACAGATGAATAAAGGACTCCATTTGAGTTACACGGATCTATCTGCGGTGAATCCGCCCACTTACACTTCCCCAACGTCCTTCCTACGGGTGTGAATGAGCAACTACTCCTATACGGTTGAGACGCACAGCGTTGGTAGGCGTGGTCCGCCGTGACGGTTGGGGGAGGGGACTGCGACCACGACGCGACGGGTGTTAATTCTTCTTTAAAAGTTCTATGAATGCTGCCATTGGGGAACCTTTGGGGGGATTTTTCCGGTGCGTGGGAGCCGCCCATGTCAGGCCCATTGTGATTAACACTACCCTCGATACGATCACCGGTAGGGGGGGGATTTACTGGGCAGGCGGTGGCAGTCGGCACCACCACCTTTGGGGGCTGATCAGAACCTCCCACAAGAGGGGGCGTCGTCGGGTCGTGGATGGGGATAGAGCTCTCTTGAATACCCCTCCCAGCTACCCTCCGCGAGGGGATCAGCACGAAACTTGAGGGGGATATTCGCGCACCCGGCGAGTGCGACATGGCTGAGGAGCGGCTCTCGGTAAGCTCCCGATCATGCGCACGAATGCTACCACCACTACTGGATGAGGTGGGGACGACCTCGGAGGGGTCTGTAATGCATACCGATCGACGCAATTTGGATTTCGTTCGATCGGGTAACGCCGAGGGGTCCTCAACAACCTTCGTGGGGGGGTTCTTTCTTTGGTAGGTCTCAATGGAAGGATAGGACCACCCTCGCTCTAGTTTCTGAGGTCCCGAGGGCATTCGTTGAGGGTTAAAGGAAACAGGGGTTCGTTGCAGCTGGGAAAAGCTGCGTCCTTCGCAGTAGTCGTTGGGGTTCATCACTTCAGACATCACCGAATACGTCTTTGCCCCTACAAGCATCCCACGACTTCCATCCAAAACCTGCGCATAAGTTTTCTGCTTTTCCTGACGCGTAAATCCTTCGTTTCGTACGAAGGAGGGCGAAGGACGCGTTTCTGGTTTATCGTCCACCATGTTCGGGACCATAATACTCCCGTTTACCACCGGTACTAACGTATTCAGGGAATCACTATTAGCGTTGTTGTCCATGACTAACGTATTAGTTTTGTTTTTATTTAACCATGCCCCCGACAGAGGTGGTTTATTCGCCTCCCTTTTGAATCGCTCTGGCTTGTTTTCATGCCCAACACACCCCTTCACATCTCTCAAAGGATCGACGGTGAGATGCTTAGTCCTGCAATGAGAGGATTCCGAAGGTGGCAAAGCTGTCAATTTCGAGACAGGAGGAAGTTTAACGTTGAGAACGGAGGACCACAAGGAACGCGGGGTGTCGCGGGTGGGCTTGCTTTTCACGTGTGGGTGTTGTTCTTCAAGGGTATCAGAGAGGCATTCACGGGCAAGGTCGATTTCCTCAGTCCTCAACATGAGATTTAGCTCTTGATCGAGACCATACGTGACTTCCGGACTGGACTGCTCGTCACCCTCCGACACATCCGGATCGGTCACCGGGCTCATAGAAACCGTCACCCTTGATAAATTTGCAGGCGAACTGTTAGAATTGCGAACCCCCTTTGGAGGATCAATGTCGCACCGTACACGTGAGGTAGATTTACTATTGTTGCTTGCACAATTCGTGCCCTTCACAGGATTGACCTGTGATAAGCTTAAAATTTTTTTTATGTGAGCAAGAAGAACGACACTAAAGACGTCCCATCCAACACTTGGTGTTAGATTCTTCATTGGTTTTTGCTTATTACCATTGGAGTATTGTGGCAGCTCTTGATTGCGCATTTGCTGCCCTATACACAATTTTTTACTTTCGGGATCCTCACCACCTGGTTCATCTTCGAGAAGTGCTTCTTGTCTCGATACGAGTGTTGTCCACACTTGGCGTAGGACATCACCGATGCTAAACTGGTGCAGGATCCACTCTACATCACTTTTGCTCTCTTTCGGGAAGTACGAGGGAAACCTTCGGCGCACATCCCTAACAAAGTCGCGCATAGAAGCATAAAAGTCATCCTTTCGCATTACGCGTGCAACATGCCTTGTCGTGGTCTGACCTTGTTCTTCTTGAAGGGAGGAGTGTGTATAAAAGCATGACCACAGGAAATGCCTCCATGTTATAAGCTCTCTATCGTCAAGCATATTTTATGTCCTCCCCTTAGAATTGTTAACACAATAGTGATGATGTGCCCCCCGATACGCAAAGAGAATCGTCTAAGAGGAAATATAAGAACATTGCTTAGAGTTTCATTATTTACTTCAAATTAATACATAAAGATTTAATAGTTTTAATATCCTTGCTGCTCATTTTTTTATGGTTACTATATTTCGTGTTCGACACTGTCAATTCTCTTTTTTTCTCCACACATCGTTTATGATGATGGTGCACCTGATACGGCATTAAGTTATTTGATATGACTGCCACCGGCCTCCTTGTGTCCTACTTCGATCCATCATACCAGGCGCATTGGGCTGGAGAAACTTCAGCGGCAGCACCGCAGCGCGCATCGAGATCCCAAGCTTAGCCATTTCTGACCACTGCACAGGAATGGGGTTCAAACCTATTGCGGCAATGCTCTCCATCGATTGCTCATAACCTTTCTGTATCATGACGTCTGGCGAGTAATCAACACCGTAGAAGCTAAAGAAATGACAACCAGACTCCAAGTAAGCGATTTGCATCGCGTCTGCCGAACCATTGTTCGCATGCTGCTGTTGGTACTGGTCGACCGCCAGGAGTCCGTGTTCATCCTTCCAGGCCAGAAGCACGTTATTGCCGGCGAAACCGAAGTAATCCCCAAGCGGCGGCGCGTCACCTTCCTGTTCGAGCGCGAAGACGTCAAAGTGGGTATGGGGATCGTCCTTCACCTCGAAAAGGTCTTTAATAATTTGATGTGCCACGGCGTTGGTGCGGGGCCCATGCCCTACCGCGATGCCTGTGGGCAAGCACACGATATCCCCGCTATGGCAGCGACAGTTTTCGTTGTCTTGGAGGTAGGTCGCCGCGCTGGTAGGACCACCTGCACCGCGCACGTAGGGAATGGTTTCCATGAACTCGGTTGCCCGGTGCTCCATTCCATACAGAGGCATGCCCAAGAACGTGGGCCCCACACAGGCCATCACATCGGCCACGCGCAGGCTCTCGATATTAGGGCGCTCTGACATAAGATGCACTTTGTCCACTAGGGTGGAGTGTTGGAGGGTTCGGTAAAAATCGCGAAAGTGACGGATGAGCATATCCCGGTTGACGACAACGCCATCATTGCCTGTCGCGGGAATGGTGCGGTAGTGTGGGGCGCGCACGAACGCATGCACCGCTCGGTAACATGACGTAGATCTCATTAAATTATATATATCTATGTGATGAGTGCATGAACCGTGCGCAGTTGACTGCTGTATAGTACACAACAACTACGAGACCCCTATGCGATGAATTAAATAGAGGGCTTAGAGTGTATTGAACGTGCGAGGGGGGGGGGGGGGGGGCAGCGGCACGTTTAACCTTTCCAAGAAAAGGATGCTTTGAAAAAATCACATTTTTGATTATATCTAGATAAGATGCCGCGTTTGGTCATTGATTCTTTCAGAAAGGATGCGATAAGCATCCACTGTTAATTATCTTTCTCCATCAATCTACGATATATAATTCAATAGCATGATTCAGGAACACATTTCATATATACAAAGTCTAAAATAGAATTAAATGTGAACCTGGGCATGGATATGAATAGTAATATACAAGTTTTCTTTCATGACTCCTTTTTCGGTGGCTCACCAAAGTAGTGTCGTGCGATATAGCGATGCACATCAACATTCTTCCAGTACCCGCCGCGCCATTTTTCTGTGTCGGATCCTCTCATCCTAGCGCGTTCCGTGAGGGATGTTGTAGCCGATACGGAGCCCCGATCACTATGGGGGAACGTCGCCGAGGGGGATGGCTGGAGATCGTACACATTCTTCCACCCCACCCCCCCTTGCCCCTCTTTTGCCTCGGCCTTCACCGATGGCTTCCCTTTGGTCGTCACGGAGGGCTTCGATGGACCGGGTTTCACGCCTTTCCTCGTAGGAGGGCCACTGGACCGCGGCCGTGGCACAATGGACAGGCCCGGGGCAATCACCACCGTCTGCACCTCCCCATTCAGCATCAACGTGCGTGGGGCCACACAGATGTGTGAGGGAGGGACAATCGTGGAAGTGGGAGGCGTCGCCGTGGTCGTTCCGACGCGACCAGGGCTAGGGCGCGTTTCCGTTACCGCTGTCGTTTGCCCAACCGGCGCCGTTTTTTCCGTGGTGGACGTGGCGGTGGGGGGGGGG